ACAAAAGTGAGTTTTAGATTCACTTCCGCGATTTCGAGTTCGTAATTTTTTATTAAGATTTTTTTCATGAATTAAATTTTTGCAAGAGATACTATTTAATTTTTATTTGTATAATTTAATATTCATGATTATATAATACTTGATTTCAATGTTCTGAAGTTTCTCGAATTTTATGTCTTTAATCTCGTTGCTCTTCAATTTTATATAATATGTTGCTATCATTTAAGTATTTTTATATTCAACTAAATGCGTGAAAAAATTCGTATAATAGTTTATTTAGTCAAATTTATCTAGAATTAAAAAATAGATATTAGAAAAATTAAGATATGAAGAATTACATTTTTTATGTCTTTTATCATAACTTATTAGAATACTAAATTTATGAATACATCCATATCACATTTGAATATGAAATAATTTTTTATTTGTTTAAAAATTTAGATTTTTATTACGTAAATAATGTTAATAAATATAGATAGCAGAGGTAGTTTATATCACTAACAATACACTTAAACTTTCTACTAATAGGTAAAATATTAAAATGTATGACCCATTTCAAAAATTGATTCCAATTAAGAATGTGGGTTACATATCTTTTTTGTAACATTAAAATAAATCAAGGATGCGGTTGCGCACCTTGGCCAAATTCGAGGATGTGGTTACGCACTTTGGCTAAATTATTTAAATGACTAAACTTTCCTTAATTTAAATCAAAAGGTGTAAATAGGAATTATTAGGTGTGAGGTACTCGAAAGGAAAAAATGTTATGCCTCTAAATGTCAAGACCAAGAATGTGGTTACCCATCTAGGTTTAGACTAATAAGAATTCAACAATAAAAAATAAGTAAATCATAGCATGAAGATATAATATGTCCCAATAATAATAAATAATTAAAGTATAAGTCAATAAAAGCGATTGTGCTAGAACCACGGGATTCGAGGGATGCCTAATACCTTTTCCTCGGTCAATAGAATTCCTACCTGAATTTCTCGTTCACAGACCAAACAAAGAGTCATTTCCTTTCGATTAGGGACTTAATAAAAAGGTGACTTGGGAAGTCATAACTCAATTTCAAGTGGCAACTCTGAAAAATAATATTAATCTCTTAATCAATACCGTCACTTAAATTGGAAAAAACTTCACTGTCATGCACGAAAAAGGGGTGTGACATACTCTATTCGTGCTAGTTTGAGTTCCATTCAAGGATGAAGTTTTTCAAGAGGGAGATATTGCAACACCTCGGACTGCAAAAATGGGTAAAAATGACAAACATACAAGTGCACGAACCCAAAATGGACCATAGACCCATCACGAAACCTTAAACGGTCCATTTAGGGGTCTACGACATGTCTTGGTTATTGTAAAGAACTTTCCAAGGTTGTCGAAGAGTCACCTTCACGACACGTTAGAACTCATTTAGGGGTCACGACCCGCCTTGGGTGTCGTGATGGACCATCCAAGTCATCCTAGACAGGGGTAACCTAGATAAGATCCTAGAAGATCCGTAATGACTTGGATGACCTGCTAAGGGGTTTGTACAAGTCACTTATCGATCGTTGAGTCATCTTTCCAAGGCCACAAGGTTTGCCTTATTGCAAGTTTGGAGTAAATATTTATCCTCATTTTAGTAATGTCTTTTGGGGAAGGTGAAGTGTTTCACATACCGTATGATACTAAATGGTTCGTGAAGCCCCTTTTTTAAGACCTGTTAGGGTCTTTTTAGTCTTCCCCAATGTATTTGCTACCTAAACTACACTATTTTGAACCCTATTTCAAGACCTATATGAGTGAATTAAATCCTAAAACTATCATATTCAATTGAGTATCTAAAATTCCCTAAACTTGACCTAATGCATCCCTCTAAATCTCTCTAAACCTTGAAGAATAAGTTTACGGTTTCAAGGTCAAGTCTCTAAATTCATTATTGATTGTGGGTTTTTTACGTCGAGGTATGATTGTATTCACCTATGGAAGTCTTGCCTCTATAGGTTTTCTAAATCCTTCAATTTTACAAGTTAGAATTCTTTATTTGAAGTTAGGGTTTTCTTCCATATTAGGGGTTAATCTCAGTCATGATCCAATTGATTGTTTTATGTCTTTTTATGCATGAATTAAAGTAATTGTATGCTTTTTAATTTGAACTCCTACGAACCTATGTGTAATCCATGATATCTAGGGCCCGTTTGGATGGGCTTAATAAAAGCAGCTTTAAAAAAGTACTTTTGAAAGTGCTGAAACTTATTTTTAAAATAAGCATTTATGTGTTTGGATAAAAGTGCTGAAGTTAAAAAAAAGTTTTTGATGTGTTCGGCAAATAAGTGCTGATAAATCGCTTTTTAAATCAAAATGTCTGAAATACCCTTAAAATCTGTTAACATAATAAAAGTTAATTAATTTATATTTTACAGCCATAAATAATTATATTTTGCTATCATTCACAATTTCTTTCTCATCACAAATTATTTATAAGAGGAATATAAACTTATTATAGATTTTAAAGATATTTAATTTGAATAGATCAAAGAACGAATTAAGATTTATTTTAGTTTCATCTATAGGTAATAATAATTGTCTATCATTCACATATTTTTTTATTATCACAAATTATTTATAAGAGGAATATAAATTTTTATTTAAGTTATATGTGCAACTTATTTTACATTTTAATAATATATAATTTGAATAGTAATTGTCTATCATCCACATACTTCTTTATCAACAAATTACTTATAAGAAGAATATTAATTCATATTTCAAAAATAAGTTGTTTGATTCAAATACAAATATCAAAATGAAAGAGAACACTTTACTAACATAAAAGTGGAAAAACTAAAATAATACAAATATCAAACGTTACCAATTTCATTAGCAATCATGTCACGAAGCCCCGTCCAATAAGTATCATTTTGTTCTTCCATATTGTTTTCTTCATTGTTAGTATTTGAACTTGAGCCAAATTCGGAGTCAACTGATGGAATATATCTCTCATCCTCAGTCGTTTGAAATGCATCATCCACATTGCATTTTTGTTTGGTATAATTGTGAATGGCCATAGTAGCAAGTACGATGTCCCTTTGAGTATCAATATTATAATAAGACATATCTCGCAAAATAGACCACCTTGCTTTCCAAACACCAAATGTACGCTCTACTATATTTCTACATGAAGAATGCATATAATTAAATTTTTCAATGTGTCCTCTTGGCTCACGCAATTGACTTGTTGCACCACGACGAAAGTTGGGAAGATGATATCTCACATTGTCTCCTTTGTATGGAGCCATATATCCCTTCATATGTGCATATCCTGCATCCACTAAATAATATTTGTTTCTTAAAGGATGTGGAAAGTTAAGTTCTTTTCTACGAAGAGTCTCACCAAATAAACGACTATCATGAGCCGCTCCTTCCCACCCAACCCATGCAAATGTAAAACACATATTAAAATCCACAACGGCAAGAATATTTTGAGTCAGATAACCTTTACGCCCAATATAAGGTATTTGTTGATCTTATGGCAATCTAGCTTTGACATGTGTGCTATCAAGTGCTCAATACAATCCTAAAAATATAGGCATGTGAACTAAATAAATATAACAAGTAATACTAAAAAAATATAGGAGTTAATATTTTAAAAGATCACTCAACTTTCACAATTTATTTAACAACGTCATTGAACTTTATTTTTAAAAATATAGAATTTCTTGAAGACACATATTTTTATTGATAAATTTAGTTGTATTATTTTGTTGATATAAAGACCCTAAAGTTAAGTGATTTTATTGATATAAAATAACATTTAATGACTTTATCAGATAAGTTGTGAAAGTTGAATGACCTTTTTAAGATATTAACTCAAAATATAGCAAAGTCAAAGTTGTTACTTACCTTAAAGAAAGGCAAATATCGCTCATTACATGGCTTGTGAGCTCCAACACCATCATTATAATTCAAATGTGGTTTAATAATGTCTCTTGCAAGTTTAGAAACGGCTTTTAAAATACTATGAAAGTGTCTATGGACCGTCTCCCCCGAATGTTGAAAGATATCTTGTATCATTCGGTTTCCCGCTCCATGTGCACAAGTCATTAAGAACATGCCTAACATTTCATTTATGGACATTCCACGGGTGGGCTTAAGTCCATATTTTTCTTCTAAATCTTTGGATAGATTAACAAACACCACCTTCTTTAACCGAAAATTTTCATAACAACGAGTTTCATTTCCTTGTAATATCTCTTGAATAAATATATATCCGGAACGCTTTGATCTACGACAAGGTTTTTTGAGTAAGTATTTTTCATAATACATTAAGATGTATTTACCTGCTATCCGGCATAGACACATCCATTCTTTCTCGTTTTTCTCTCTCCTACTTTGTTCTAGTTCTTCATCTTCTTCATCTAACAAATCACTTAAATGAGGTGATATGGTAAAGTCCAAATCCTCCATTTAACTACAAATAAAAATATCTTCAATTAAAAAAAAATCAAAAGTATAAAAGTTTCATTATTTCACAAGTAATGACACATATTTTTACTTGCTTACATTTACATAAATTCAACATAACAAACACCTATATGTAAATTCAACACAACATATACATTTACATAAATTTAACATAACAAACACCTATATGTAAATTCAACACAACATATACATTTACATAAATTCAACATAACAAACACATTTATATAAATTAAAACTTCACTTAAAATAAATTAACTATATAATGATAATGTCCAAAACAAAATCCAAGATAATAAAAAAAGTTCATGCGTACAAGCATAATGTCAAACATAAAAGAATAAACTACTTTTTCAATAACAACACATTTTCACACTTTCTTAAGGTATAACTGATAGTTATACTCCATCCAAGACTTTCGAACTTCATCCGTACGCATCTTAAGAAACACTTGTCAAATGTCTTTTTTAAGAAACATGTTCACAAAGTAGTTGTACATTTCACCCCTTTCAAAAATATTGAAAATATTTGCCAAAAAATCCATACACTTATCAATGGTGGGATCATCTACCGCATGAGATGTAGCAGTACTTTTGTTAGACATTAACTCTAGTAAAGATTGCATATCTTCTTTCATTGATGCAGGTGTAGATTTTGTCTTACTTTTTTCACTTGATTACTAGTTCCAATACCATCTGTTGAATTTGGTCTTTTTATTGATGGTTTAGGAAACATAGAAGAATTCATATCTTCTGGATCATCACTTTCATCACCCCCTTCATTATTTGTATTAAAGAAGTGCTCGATATCATCATTTACCATTTTGTCTTTCTTCGTCATAATCTACCTCACTTTCAAAAAATTGGGATTGATTTGAGACACGTGCTCTTTCCCCCGTAGCAACAATATCAGAAAATAATGCATCATAGTAAAACCATATCAGTGAAAGATCCTTATTCCTAAATTTTCTATATCGAACATCCTCCTATAACAAAAAATGAAACAACAAATTTAAGTAAGTAAAAATGTAACTTTAAAATAAATAAAAAGATATATAAAACAACGTGAAAACTGTACCTTAATTTTTCGCTTCCACCAATCATCATCTGCCATAATTGTATTTTTAGTGGCATCCCATCCTATACCTGTAACTCCTCTCATCAATTGCTTAAAAAGAGTCCACTCAGCTTTCATGTCATCCCAATGATTTTTCATTTGTATTTTTATATAACGTCTTCCCATTTTTTCATAGAATGTTTTAATCGTATTTTTCCATCCATCTTTGGATAAATGTGTGTTTGGTCTATTTCCTTCCTAATCTCTAATTCACATAACTCTATAAATTTGAGATGAGCATCATTATCCCACTTAGCATTAGTTTGTGTTTCAGACATGGTGTAATTAATCTGAAGATGAAATTGATAAGAAAATATAAAATAACATTAAACTAGTTCAAAGAAAAAATAGAAGGAGCATATTTAAGATTCGTTGGTTCGAGAACAAATTATCTTAAAATAATTTCACTATAACAATACTAAAACCCCGAATAACCTATTTTATAATTTTATTTCAATTAAATATGAAATAAACTCAAACTAAAATTAATCCCAATATTAGTAGGAAAGGGATTACCAAGCCTATTAGGATTTGATATATCAAAACCTACCACAATTGTAATATGAACTATATATATAAATACACATTTTTAGCCTTTAACATTATAGGATAACTCAAAAACAAGAAAGCTGAGGTATTACTAAAAAATATGGTGAAGGAAACAGAATGTCATTCTTCATTAAAAGGATGAAGAATTAACAGTAGCTATATACATGGCTTCTCTTCTTCTCAAATTCAAATTATTTCTTCCTTTTGTGAAACTCTTGTGCCACCTTGTAATAACAGTGATAATTCATTCTTTGCTTCTTCTTTGTAACTATTTTCTAGATTCTGAAAAGGGCACTCTTTTTTGCTAACAACATTGTTTTTTTTAAGTGTGATGTGATGGTCTTTTTGTGATAAAGAATTGGTCTTTGTAACTATCTTCTATTATTGGTTTGAGAGTGTTTTTATTTTCACCTGTCTTTTTAACCATTTCGTTTTTTTGCAGTTTAGTGATTCTTGGAAAGACGTTACTTTGTGCCTGAAGATTATTCTGGTATTGAAGGACCTTCTTTGAGTTAGTTATATGAGACAGGTGCAATGCTTAGTAGTCTTGATGGAAAGGTAATGATTATGGCTGGAACAACAGTGGACGAAGTAGATTACAGTGGATAACGATAACCCTGTTTTTACCCAGTAACGGATAATATTTTTCAGGCATCAAACACTGTATATTAACATTCAATATCCATCTCAAAACATAGAGAACATGCACATAAAACAGAACAACAATTCGGAAGTTATATTTTCAAAATTGAGACACAAAACAAGAGCAATGGAGAAACCATGTATGGAATCCATTAATAACAAAGAAAAAGGTAGAAGAAGAGCCGGAGGTAGCACAAATCTGTATTAAAATGGAGAAAAAAGAAAGAAAACTAAAGAGGCAGAAGAAGAAAAACTTACTTGATAAAGAGAAGAAGAAAAAGAAGCAGCCGAAACTTTGGAAGAAGAGGAAGAAGTTCAGCAGCTGCCAAGCGTGAGAAGGAAAAAGGGAAAAAATTGGAAGAAAATGTTAGGGTTAGGATGGGTAATTTGGGGATTATATAAAAATATTAAGGGCAAAAGGGTAAAAGTACGGTCAACTTAAAACAGCTTATAAGCTAAAAAAAAAGCACCCCTACCCCAGCTTTTAACTTTTGGCTTAAAATAAGTTTTTTTAAACTTAAAATAAGTTTATTTGAGTATTGCCAAACAGTCAAATAAGTCAAAAACCAGCTTTTAAGTCAGTTTGACCAGCTTTTAAGCTGAGCCAAACAGGCTCCTAGACTATGATCATATGATCGGGCTTTTAAACTAAGAAAGATGAATTTATAAAGATATGCAATTTTCTTTATGAAATTTATATAAATGATTTAAGATTTCTTTGAGAATGAAGCATTGATGTTGTTATTGTGAAAGGATTTCTCACATATAGGGTTGAAAGGTTTTTTCAACTAAACTTAATCAAGAATTAGGAGTTATTCTAACTCTAGCTTTGATTGACTACTTGATGTGACCCCACGGATGATAAGACAAGCAACGACTATCCATGTCCCAAAATGATAAAAATAAGTTAAGATTAACGGTTAAGTTGGAGGATTTATGCTTAGGACTAAGTGAACAAGTGACAATTACCCATGTCCCATAGTTATATTCCACCATAGAATTGTCTTAGATAGACATTGGCTAGTGTATCCACTTTAGCTCAAGATTTATGGTCCTTACCTTGTCAACTAGAACACCCCTTTTCGGTGTGGGGCATACATTAGATTCCATGTTATAGCTTACATAGTCTATGTTGGCTAAATGTAAATCTCCCACAATGATGAACTAATGTACATCCTAAGAGTCTCTTAAATTTGTTTCGAAGATGTCTAGATTGCATGATCATGGTTATGACTTATCTTTTCTAACATGTTGATTCATGATTTATCGTGGTCATTGCATGTCATATAAATTCCTTTTAGCATGATTTTATAACACTTATGTATGGTTATCATACTTGCTACATCCATTTACTAATGCATACTTGTGCCTACATTGTTTTACCTAATGTAGGATCTAACGCTTCTACATGTACACTCGTGGTTAGTGATCCTGTATAGACATTGAAGATTATTGACTCCTCATAATCTGAAGGCCAAAATTCTTTTATTTCTTTCATATCTTTTCATTTTGGATGTGGTATATGATGTATGAGTTACATTACAATCACTTCTTTGATATAATAGATGGCTTTGTGACTTATGTTAGACTTCTACTACTTTTATCAAACTCTTTTCAAATATAAAATGCTATCTTTTGAAATCTTTAATTTTATTATTTTATATGATGTATGCTAAACGACTTGTGTAGTGCCTCATGGGGTCCAATGCACCATGTCATGTTACGTCTAGGGTGCACTTTGGGTCATGAGATAATTTCCAACTAATATTTGTCAACGAACTAATCATAATTACTGAATAGTCTAAAATATCCATTTAAAATCTATTGAAAGAGTTTTTTTTTCTGAAATAAGACGTTCTAATAATCAATTCAACCTAAAGATTTGGTACATCAAATAAAATTTAGTCATCGTTCATCCTTGAACCGCTAAAAATAGTGAGGGCAAGAAAAGGTACTTGAATCGACCAGGTCTGGTATCACGATCCAAAATGGACGTGATGGCACTCATCTTATCCCACCAAGACAAGTCAGCCTAAAACTTAACAATCACAATAATATGCGGAAAATTCACAATCAACTTAAAATATCTCCAAAATCTGATTGTCACGTGTACAAGCCTCTAATGTAATACTATAATGAAATAAAATACGCAAGTCTCAAATGACTTTGTCTTTCAAGTCAAACAAAATCATAAACAGGAGTAAGAAGGTCTGCTGAGATGACAAACAGCTATCTCACAAATCCTCGAGAAGCCTCGAAAAAAGAAGAGAATATATCACAAAGTTCTGGGCCAATAACCTACAAAAAATCGTAGAAGTAGGGATGAGTACCAAACCACACGGTACTCAAAAAGCAAACCTATAAACACAAGTTAAGGGAATAGAATAGGGGTACTCTTTACACCCATCCAAACCTTTAAAACTACAACCTGCGTGACACCAACTCACCCTAACAACTCACAGTTTACATAGCACCTAGCTCAACAACAAGACTTACACAAATTACACATCCTCAACAACACTTTAACAAATTACATGTCCTCAACAACAACACTTTAACAAATTAAATATCCTCAACAACAAACTCAGTGTTCATTAATCACAAGTTTAACAAAAAAACACTCACAAGATCCATAACACACAAGATCAAGTTCACCCATGATGAAGATGTGCAATGCAATGAAATGCAATGTCAAGTATCGTATGCATGTTTGACATAATGATACACACATGTTGTCTCTCAGCCCGGGACCCATGGGGACATATATGTCCATGCATTCATCGTGGTGTGCGATACGATCCTCGATGTATAGTAATTGTCTACGTCCTTCGGAATTGAACTTTCCACTCAAACCAATTTATTCAAATAAATAACCACGATAAGATTTCAAAACTAACAACATTCACATTATTATGTATTTAGCATTGACCCAAAAAAATTCACTAGAATTTATAATCAAGTAAATAAATCTTGATGCCAATTCACATTTCGACTATCATATTTTTCAAGTTTTAAATCAAGGGTTAAGTCATAATTTCTCCAAACACTATCACCTTAATACGTTTTATATAGAATAATACACTCTACATATAAATACTTATTTCAATATGTCAAAACTTGAATCATCATACAATAACTATAAGAAAATTCAAGATCAGATCCAAGTTACGTATCTGGTAACTTCAACTACAAAATAAAGCAGAAGACTAACTTAATTTTATAGAATATCCTTCAATAACATACATTAGCTTTCTATCAATTATATAATGATAGTATTATAACTCATTAGAAAAGGAAAACCAAAGAAACAGTACGCAAAAGAAACATTAACTCTAAAATCTACCTAATTCAAAAACATTACAATTATCATTATATGTATAAATATGTGTGCAATTAATGTCAACAAGATTAAATGCTTCTATAAATTTGTAAGTTTAAATTGAAGTTACCTTTAAGAAAGAGAAACAGTTCGTCTTTTCTGTGTTCACGACGCATCCGCACGGCGAGTTCTTGACCTAGATTTCCTTTTACTTTTTTTTTCTAATTAAAAATTAATAATGTACTAAAAGTAACAAATCTTAGTACTTGTTTTAATATATGGGTAAAATTGATTATAAATTTAATCATTAATTATCAATTAAATTAAAATAAATTATTTAATAAATACATGTCAATTAAGTTACTATAGTTATTGAATAGTTTAAAATTTTCAATCAATTTCACTGATCAATCATAATTGACTCGATATAAATATTGAAAGGAGAAAAATGATAATTTTATAAAAAAAATCAAAAATGACTTTGCAGGTCTGGATATCTTTTTTGCATATCATCCTCAGTCTCCCAAGTGAATTAGATGTTTTATACTCCAGCAAGGTGGATGAGATGTTGTATCATCACGAGGCTTATAGTGATAATTGTCGTTTAGAGAAA